TTCTTCAAAATATTAAAAAGTTAAATTTCGTTTATTATTTTATTTATTTATCCATTTTTTTAAGTTAAATTTTGTTTAGAAGAGAAAAAAATTGTTTTTAAATAAGTTTTTGAAAAAAACCCTTTATTATTGTAAGGGAACGTTCACATATGACGTCACGCTAATTTTCAGCTTTTTTGACCCCTACCCCCCCTTTGTCACGCTCTGTCACGATTTGACAAGACCCCCTTGATAATGGACATCACGTTCTTTAAACACCCCCCCTTTTTTTTTTGTTTTTTTTAAATCTTAAAAATTTTCTAAGGTATTAAAATTGTTTTTAAAGAAATAATAAATGTTAAGATTACTTAAATGTAATAAAAAGGGTTTCTGATAAAAATAATTTATTTTTTCTTGCAATTATATACTTATAAATATTTTTTGCTTAAACAGAGTTATTAAACTTAAAGTTTAATAACTTTTGCAGCAAAAATATATGTATAAAGCAGTATAAAGATGGTATAAAGCAGTACTAATATGATGATATAATACGCATGACATATCACAGGGCCTTGATATTCGATTCGCGGGAAAAGGTATCAAATTCAAAATTCTACTATAAAAGTAGTAAACATACTTCGTGACATCACGAAGGAACTGAACCCCCCCGTACGCCATGTCACGTTTTGTCACGTTTGACCAAGACCCCCCCTACCCCCTAATGCGTGACGTCATATGTGAACGTTCCCTAATAATAAGAAAATGTGACTTTATAATTTCACGTGTGAGAATATTATAAAATTTTATTTTAAATTCTCTAATTTCTACAAGAAAATAAACGTATTCAAAAATATAATTAGGTGAGATAGTCAATCTGGCATGGAACAAAGCGAAACGATATTGTAAACACGGCTGTGTTTACTTTTCGTACCGGTCTCTTAGAGATCACGCGTTGAATGTGGCTACAGTGACCACTAAGTAATATATCTTATATGTGGAAAAAATATCCCATGGTAGTTAAATTCATTACGTTACAATAAAATATAATATGGTAAAGCAATTTTATTTATATGCGTAAAAAATAGCTGAAAAAGAAAGTTATTTGTAGAAAAAATAATCAGCTAAAGCGATGATTAATATTATATATCGTCGATTGAGGGCAGAAACACGCCAATTCAGGCGAATGTTGAGAAACATGACAATCTTAAAAATATTAGGGAAACCTGCCATTCGATTGAAGATTTCAAAAACATGCCATCTCAGATGTCAAATTTTTGTTGATTGTTTTAGGTTGGTATCACTTTCTTGAGAATGTTATATTATACTTAACAAAATTTTATTCTTGAAATCAATATTAAAAATTAAGAAAAGTATATTCATTAATAATAACTTTATTAAAAGGTTCTACCGACTTAACCAAAAATATTCAACAAAATATTAATTATTTTGACTCATCAATTTTTCGTTTACAGTGTTACCAACCTAAAACAATCAACAAAAATTTGACATCTGAGATGGCATGTTTTTGAAATCTTCACTGGAATGGCAGGTTTCCCTAATATTTTGTAGATTGTCATGTTGCTCGACATTCACCTGAATTGGCGTGTTTCAGCCCTCAATCGACGATATACATTAGAGCAGTTTAAAGCAATACTTTTTTTGATAGCGAAAAATCCTATGCTAGTATTAAAAATAGTGAGAAAGAAATGCGAGCATTATTTTATTTTTCAACAGGTGAAAACTTCGTTCATTAAGTGTTATTTAACGCTTGAAAAAGGGCTGAAGTGGAAGCTACTTTTTCGCGTTTGAAACACTATGACTTATTTTAATGCGATAAGTTAAAACGAGTTGAGCGCCGTAAATGTGTAAACACAAGCATGGCATTGAAAATTAGTTTCTTTGAATGTGGAATGTGGATGCGACTAGAAAATGTTTTAGGTCGCTGATTACGAATCTAAAGTCAGTTTTTAAAAACTAAAAATGTCGGATTAATTTTTAAAAAATTAATGTATTTTTATAAAAATGAGTTTAAGGAGGTTTTCAAGGTCGCTGATTACGAATTATTTTATAAAGACTCTTGATTGGTCAAAATCGTGGAAGACATTTTCGAATATTTTATTTTAAAAAGTAACCAATTTCATTAAATAATTATTATTAATGTAGTCAATAAATAAAATAAATAATTTTATTTCGACTAATTAGTTTTGCAATTTTTTAATTAAACTCACTAGAAGATGGAAGAGTAATTATGATTTTTAAATACCTACATATTTAATATATACGACTTATTTTTCAAAATACATTGAGCCACAGTAGTTTGAAATCGAAAAGTAGGGTTTAAAACAGTCTAGAGATTAATATAATTATTTTTGATTTTCAATTTGCATAAATAATTATATTAATATAAACAAATAAAAAAAACGTACTTTTTTACATATTACTCTTATTTTCAAAAAAATATGTAAAGTTTTTATTGTTAGGTATTTAAATTTACTCCTCTGGATCTCTGAATTGTAGAATGATGATATAGACCCATTAGTAAATTGTTATAAACAAATTATATATACAAATTGTTAATTTGAGCAATGATTTCAATTAACTTAAATGAAACTGATCACACCTATCTTTAACGAAAAAAAGTTGATACCCGATGCCGAAAAAAAACTCTTAAATAATTTAAATCTTTGTTCCCCAAATAAACAAAATTTCAAAGATTCAAAATCGTAACCGATCCTCCTGCATTATTTTTTAAGAATTTATTGTTGTTTTATGCATTATAATGAAAAATTGCTTCATTACGATGTGCAGATCAGTTGAAATTACAAGTGTAATCTTTTTATACTTATTAAATGTAAAATTAATAATAACAACAATAATACATTACTATAATTTTTGGGAATAAAAGATGGATGATCAATTTTGTAATTTTAAATCCGTACTGTCAACAAAAATAATAAAAGAGTATTTTCCCTAGAACACCGCAGATGTAGTTATCCGAATTTTCTATCATTTCTTATTCTTATTAATATACGCAACATTAGTTATTGCTATTGTAATTTGTATTTGTATCATGTATGAACATAAATAATAACAAGTTGGCTAAAATTAGTTCAAAGTTTTGTAGATGTAGTTGATTTATTTTTAATCACGCGTGTTGTCATGATTAAAATAGAAATATTGTGCCTTATATGGTAGAAAAAATGTTTGCAAAGACAGTAATTTAAAATTTTTGTTCTTCACAGAAAGTCAAAAAAAGATCTTCAAAACTTTTATGAATAAAAGTTTTTCTTTAAATAATTTTTCTACCACATAAGGCAAAAACTTTCTATTTTAATCATGACAACACGCGTGATTTAACTTGTAGTAATAAGTCATTTTTAAATAGATTAAAAATAAATTAACTACATCTACAAAACTTTGAACTAATTTTAACCAACTTGTTATCATTTATGTTCATACACGATATAAAAACAAATTGCAATAGCAGTAACTAATGTTGTGTTTATTAATAAGAATAAGAAATTATAGAAAATTTGGATAATCTAATGTTTACATCTGCCGTGTTCTAGGGAAAATAATCTTTTATTATTTTTGTTGATAGTACGGATTTAAAATTACAATATTGATCATTCAACTTTTATTCTCAAAAATTATAGTACTGTATTATTTGTTGTTGTTATTATTTTTACATTTAATAAGTATAAAAAGATTGCACTTGTAATTTCAACTGATGTGCACATCGTAATAAAGCAATTTTTCATTATAATGCATAAAACAACAATAAATTCTTAAAAAATAATGCAGGAGGATCGGTTACGATTTTGAATCTTTGAAATTTTGTTTATTTAGGGTACAGAGATTCAAAATATTCAAGAGCTTTTTTCGGCATCGGGGACCAACTTTTTCTTCATTAAAGACAGGTGTGTGATTACTCGGGGGTTTTCGGGGTCGCTGATCACGAATTCGATGTCAGGGGGTCGATTACGTAACTTTCCCACATCCCACATTTTACATCCCACTTCCCACATTTTACATCCCACTTCCCATATCCTACATCACACTTCCTACATTTTACAACCCACATTTTACATCCCACTTCTCACTTCCCACATATTACATACCACTTCCCACATCGAACATCTCACTTCCTACATCTCACTTCCCACATTTTACATCCCACATCTCACTTCCCACATTTTACATACCACTTCCCACATTTCACATCCCACATCTCACTTCCCATATTTCACATCCCACTTCCCATATCCCACTTGCCATAAATCACATGCCACTTTCCACATTTTACATCCCACTTCTCACATCTCACTACGCATCTTTCACATACCACAAATGTGGGAAGTGAAATGTGGAATATGGGATGTGGGAAGTGGGATGTGGTATGTGAAAGATGGGAAGTGGGATATGAAATATGGGAAGTGAGATGTGAAATATGGGATGTGGGAACTGGGGTGTGAAATATGGGAAGTGGGAAGTAGGGTGTGAAATATGGCAAGTGGAATGTGAAAGATGGGATGTGGGAAAGTTACGTAATCGACCCCCAGTTTTTCAAAATTCAAAATGGCGGATCCAATATGGTAGACGAACAAATTAAAAATTAATTGAATTTGCTTGAAACTAATTTCATGGGGGTTTTTGGAGACCTTGTTTACGAATACGATGTCAGATTTAAAAATTTAAAAATGGCGGATCCAATATGTCAGACAAAAAAAATTTAATTTTGACGAATTTTCTTGAAATTTGTTACTCGGGAGTTTTTAGGGTCGCTGATTACAAATATTATGTCAGATTTTATGAATTGAAAAAATTGCTGCCATTTTGAATTTTTAAAATCTGACATATTTGTAATCAGCGACCCCATAAAGTAGAGTGACTTATATTTCACTACCTTCTCCATCATGTTGAGTCTAATACTGAATCGACAGTAAAATACGGCTCAACTATTGCTAGAATTTATTTATGGTTTCCCTAATTATTAACGAATTGCTTTTAATTTATTGTAGATCAGGAGTAGGATCTGCTTCTTCTTCACAAACTTTATTCTACGTTGAAGTTACTGATGATATGAGAATTCATCCCGGTAAGAAAAAAAAAATATATAATGAACAAATAAATGAATAACAATATAAAATAATTATTTCAGGAGGTGGTGCTGACTCAGAGGGTGAATTAATCGAAGTTATCGAAATGAATATTCAGCAAGTGAAGGATTACCTGCATTCTGGAAATGTTGAAAGTCCTTCCAGTTTTCTTTATGGTGTCACTTGGTTTTTGGCTAGTAAACAAGACCGTTACCAGTAATTTGAAAATAAAAATTATATTTTAAAAGTTTCAGTAATTTAAAATCTTCGTTGTATTCTATTAAAAATTTAGTCAATTTCAAGTTATTTATAAAATAAGATTAATTTAATTTAAAATTATATTTATTTACATATAAATATTTACAATTAATGTTCAACATCGTCTTTTGTGAATTGAGTACTGACCCAGGCAAGACCCCATTTCAAATTCGTCAGGACATATTTTAAGGCCTTAGTCCACTGCTCTTCAGAATTGAACTGAATTCTATAAATAAAAAAGGATATAAATTAAAATTTGAAATGCTTATTGACAAATAAATCAATTAAACGTAGAGGAGAAAGAGAACCTTAACTTAACGTAAACAAAGCGAGAATGCATATTACATAAACAAACACTTATTTATTTATTTATATACATTCCCCGTAGTCCACAGAAGTGAACCATAAATGGGTAACTAAATAATTATAAAATTTATTATTATAAAATATCAAAATATTTAAAATATAGTATTATTATATGAGCATTGTCACACTCACAAATTCACATCAACAAAAAGCATAATATTTTAATTTATTTTACGATTAAACAATAAGTATTTATTAATAGTTTCGAGAAACTTTGATTGTGACGTGTTAAATAAATCAATATGCGGTTCAAAAGTAGAGGATAATTTGTTTATATGGTAATATACAAAAAAAATAGGTGCTATAAACATTAAAGGTGATGGTATATTAGTTAAATAAAAAGGTTTATTTTGTCTTGATGATAATCTCGGTACTCTGATATTGATTAGATTTAAGGGGGGAACACCAGTTGTAACTTTCGAAAAATCGAATTTTTTTTTTGTGCATTTTCTTAAAGTATACATATTTAGAAATGTGTCTGTAAATTTCAAAGTTGATCCGGTGAAAAATAAATGAGATATACAGAACACTGCAGCGGCGCGTCCCGTGGCTTCATACAAGGTGGCCAGCCATACCTGACCCTAACGACACATGGCCTTTTCCTATGATTTAGAAACGGCAACCACTGCGGAAGAGTTATTATATGGTCCAGGAATCGATGACTCTTTGTAACTTGGAAACAAAATTTCTCCTGAACAAAAAAAAGTAAGTTGAAACTTTGAATGCGTTTTTCTCAAAATGACATTTTCCAAGTCGGTGACCACGATTACTCGAATACCATTAACAAATATGGCAAAACAATGTGGTGATTTAAAATTTTAAACAAGAACATAGTTACGTGTATAATTCTTAGTTCTTGCAATGTTATCATGTTAAAACGGTTACATAAGTCTAAATAATTCGATTCTCTCGGAGGATAAATACCGTCTTTTTTGAAAGCTAGAAATTTGATAAAAGGCTTTTGAATATTCTCGACTTCCTGAGAATAAATATCCTAAAATGGGTTCCATATTACATCGGCATAATCTAAACGAGGATTTTATCTAAACAATTGCATTAAATAAAAGTGTAAAAGAATGAATAATAGAAAAATTTTTTGAATTTCTTAACAAAAAACCTAATGAATTAGACGCGTTTGACAAAATTTCTGTAATGTAATCATTAAAACTCAAATCCTGTGAGAAAGTTACACCTAGATCACGGACGGTATTCACTCTTGTAATCTCATAATTTTGTATTTTATATGGAAATTTCAAAACAATGCCTGATTTACGAAAAGATATTATTTGACATTTTGACAAATTTAATTCTATTCTATTTTCAACATACGAAAAATAAATAGCCATGAGATCATTCTGGAGTTCCTCAGCATCATTATTCGACAAAATATGTCGATAAATTATTAAGTCATCAGCAAAAAAGTAAAGAAAAAGACATTATACTCTCAACTATATCATTTATGAATAATTTAAACAAAGGTGATCACTTTATTGACAACAAATCTTACTTTATATTAGTATTATAATTTGTATTAATATTATTTTTTTGTTATTATTATATTGATATATCCTCGGATTTATCGTAAGTAAAAAATATTTAATTTCTTTAACATACCGTTAACAAAAAGTTTATAAATTAACTTAAAATTACGCAAATATATAGATATTACATTTTGAGGTTATGTTATATTCCTTGTCAAATTATAATTATAATCAATTTTCTAACATAAAAATAAGACAGTTGTGTATAAAAACGAAGCACTGAAGTTCTTTCACTTATTAGAAAATGAATTTTTGTATTATATTTACCCTATCGAAATAACGTGCCCCAAACATGTTCTCAAACCGACTCTGGTTTGTAGAGCATTTTTAGAGTCTGATTAGAAAAAGAAACTGAAGTACGCCACGTTTATAATAAACGATTTTTATTTATTTATATATATATTCCCCGCGGGCATTCTTTTTAAAGAAATAATTTTTTTAAATGAAAAATTCTATAATTTTTTTCCAAAAAAATATTTTGTGTAATTTTTATTAATCAACAAATTATAAAAAAATATTCTTTAAGGTAAACAATTTTATAATTTAACGTGTTAAATAAAAATTGATTTTCAACCATAAAACTATTGTTGGTCATAACATTGTTGAGGCGAAACAATATATTATACATATAGCTGAAGCAGCTTTCAGTATGGATACATTGACAAAGAAGAATGGTTGTGGCAACCATATAATTTGGAACCTATGATATGGATATATCAACCATAGCTTTAGTTGAGGTAACAATATTGGTTTGGATTTTAACAATTTTGTTATTGTATCCATTTTTGAATTGCTAAGGCCCCTATAGACGCCTGCGCACCTTGTCTGGGCGGTGATGCAATATATTACGTCTATATTACTCGCATTAATTCCAAGCGTCGCGAAACGTGTATATGTCCGCAGTCCTAAAGATTTTCTATAATCATTTAAGAATTATATTGATCCCGGTTAATGTGTTTTTTAAGTTAAAAAATGGAAGCTGAGTGCATTGATTTCCTTAAAAAAATAGGCTTCGAAGTTGACTGCGTCCTTTTAAACAAGTTACATTCACCTTTCCCAGTCATAATTTGTAAATGGGGAAATTCTTGAATGTTTGCGACTCTTAGGCACGCACTATAATTATAATACTATAATAAAAGTTGCGATACGATTGTTTATTTTGTTAACGAATTTGTATTTGGCGATTATTTCAAAAAAATAAATACGTTTTTATGGGACTCAATGTTTTAAATTAATCAAAAATAACCTTATTGATAATATTAAACAAATAAAATAAACATTAATTGTAACCATATAAAATGGTTGCTTCAACAATATTAATATGGTACACTAAATAATGGTCGAAGCATCAGTTAAAAATGGTTGTCACATCCATATTAGCATTTGTATGTTTTCCAAATATATGGTTCCCACAGCCATATATTCTAGTTGTGCTAACAATTTAAAGCTAGCTATTTAATATGGCTGGAGCAACCGGAGGTATGGTTGGGACGTATTTTTCAATATAATATGGTTGAGACAACCAAAGGTATGGCTGTGGCAACCATTGATTTTTTTTCCGTGTAATAATTAGTTTGGAAATATGCAATTTTAAAAAATAACTCATGGTGCTTTGTTATGACATATTTAAAACACTTACAATCATGAAAGGCCGTTTAAAATCCGATTTTTACCGAGCTCATACGAAGCTATATTTCAATAACTTAAATACATATAGGCAGTCGCTGGAAATCTCTGGTAATCGCGTAGAAATCTTAGAAATCTGTAGAGAAATCTTTCAACGATTACCTCTACCTATTTCTGATTTTCTTAGTGAATATCCCCTCGTAAAAAATATTTTTTTTAAAGTTTGATACATATATTTTTAAACTTTAATTATTAAAAAGTTGTATTTTTTTTTCTTTTTTTTTGAAGTGCTCCCATTTGCTCAAAAATTTTTTTTTCAAAAACGGCTATGCGGTGCTATAGAGAATGTTATTGAGAAGTTATGTACAAATTTTCAATAGAATCAGTTGAGTAGTTTCAGAAAAAAAATGTACACCGCTCCGAAAAAAGTATTTTCAAAAAACGCCATATCTGCTTTATTTTTGAATATTTTTTAATTAAAAAAATTTGTTTCTAAAGTTAAATACATGTATTTTTAAACTATAATTATTAAAAAGTTGTATTTTTAAAAGTTTTTAGTTTACTTTTTTTAATAGATTATTTTTTGCGCGTATTTCAGATCTGATCGCGGAAGTAAACCATGGAAGGTAACGACGAGGGGTTGAATTACAATTGTTTATTTTCTTTTTTGGCACAAAATTTTCAAAAGTCTAATTAATTTTCAATAAAAATTTTTCGCATGCTATTTCAACATTATTAATTTCATTTAAAAAAGACCAGTCAATATTACATAAAAATACATACAATTGATCTAAACGAGCCTTACGAAAATTGTAATATTGGTTTGAGTTATGATTGAAACTATTAAAAACTGATGTTAAATATTTATGATTAGAGGTCAATGACGCTGAGCAACAAATGAGTCGCCGGAAAGTAAAACCAAACATAAAATTCTGACTCCCATTGAATTAACATGGCCGTCAGAATTTTATGTGTGGTTTTACTTTCCGGCTACTCAAATGGTAGGGTGATACTCATCCTCTGTTACAAGTGGGGGAAGAGCCCTGAGAACTGATCCATTAATATATTATCGTTTATATTGTTAATCGTAGGTAGATTAATTTAAAGGAATTGCTTATTGCTGCAAGAACTATATTCTTAGGTTGTAATTTTTTTTGTTGCGTCCGACTGGTCTTGCAGAGACACTTGTATTGGATTCATGACGATACCTTATTACTAAACCTGGTTCCGCTTTCGACTCCTTCTCTTTTAATTCTCTCCTCACGCGCTGATATTCCTGCTGCTGTAATTTTGTACGGTCTGGCGTTGGCAGGAATGATTGGATAATTTGAGGAATTTGATTGATCGACTTTAGCTTGAAATAATCTTCTCTAATTACTTTCGGAAGTTGAGTGTCCAGGAATGCAACCTTGAGTGGTCTCGGTTTCGTTGCAGCCTGTGATGGAAAACCAATGCGAGTAACTTTAATATTCGTTGGTAATATTACATTGGGACTAATAGAATTGAAAAAAGAGACAACAGTAGATTTATCGTTATTTTTCTCTTCTTCTCCAGTAATGGTTGCATTTTTATTAATATCAAAAATTATTAAATTGTATTTTCTCTGGTATCGATTCTCCCATTCGTCCAGGCAGTCAACCATGCTTGTTCCATGCAAACTACTATTATTTTGAGTTTCTAAAGATGATACTTCTAGTTGATCAAGGCGTTGAATAATATCAGTTAAATCTGACTCACATGTCATAATTCGTTTTCCATGCTTCGTTAACTTTCCAGTTATAGATGTAATAGTTTTCTCAACACGTTCAAAATTTCCGATATAGAATCACGAACTCTATCACATTCTTCTCTCATTACACAACGAAGTTGGTCCAAGGATGCTGTAACTGGTAACTCAGGTGCAAGTGATAATGGACTGCAACACTTTTTTAGACCTACTCCAGGTGTGAGTTGTGTCTTGGATGAGCATGCTGGATGGTAAGGGGACTTGCAGTTAGGGCATAGAAAGGTTTTGACGACACGTTTATCACAATAAGTACATTTTATATCAGCTGCATTTGTAAAATCAGCACATTCAAACTCCGTGTTATCTGACGTCACTTTTAAGGTTGTCAGTTTATTTTGAAAACACATATTTTCAAAATGTAGTCTCTCAATGAGGATTGTATATAATTTAATATACACTGAGAGACCTTTTGGACTACAGCGGAACAAGGTAAGTGACAGCAGCGCCACTATGGTTTTGGTGTGCGGCGGTACAATTTTGGGAGCGTGACTGTCCAAAATGTTGATAAGTAGCTCACCGAAGTTGTGGGGACGCCACCTTTGGTTTGTAGCTGTACAACTTTTTGGCAAACACGCGCCCAAAAATGTACTGTAGCAGCCCAAACGTATAGTCTCGTAGCTTACCAACAGAATGCTCCGCAGCCGCCTGTCGAAAGTCGGCTACAGTGCAAAAGGTCTCTCAGTGTAGAATTATATACGAAATAAACGATGTAAGCAAGATGGTACACTCACACAAACAAATTTTGGTAAGGCTATGAAAAATTTATAGTCACTAGATTTCAAAATTTATTCTCAGATGAAAAAACACTTTATCCAAATAAATGTTAAAATATCACTTTTATATTTACGTATAGTCACGATGCTCTAGAGAAAGGAAAAAAAGGAATTACTTATCTAGCAATTGGTTATATAAGACACATTAAGTTTCGATTCCGACTGTACATATGGAAAGACAAGCACTTAATATACCATTTTAAATAAGATTAGTTTGAAAATCCCTTGTAAAACGGAAATGCACCAAACTTAAGTCACTCCTGGGTCACCAGCACTTGAGTCTTAATTACACGTAAGTTATACAGTAAAAAACAAGTTCGACTATTTGCAATAGCAATATAAAGGAGGAGCGATAATCAAACACGTCCGACCATTATAAAAGCTGACTGATTTGAGACTTGAAGTATTAATTAACATGATGTTAATATTATGTCAATAGTATTCTATAATAATAATTCAAATCGATTTTTATTTTAAAATTGTTTTTATTTTTTTAATCCTTTCACGTCTGCAGAATATATATATGTCCCACTTTCAAAAACCCTTTTAACTTTCTTAAATATTAATATTTTTTAATACGGTTTGCATTATTTTCTTCAGTTTAGATCACAGTATAAAGAAAAAAAAGTAAACTAAGAATTTTTTTTACTATTAAATAAATTAACAAAAGTTTATCTAAATCAAAAAATTTGCAAAAAAAATCAGCTCTCCTAGGCATAAATATCAAAATAGGTATTTATGAAACAAGTGCGTACATGGAAAAAATTAGTCGCTGAAATTTTCATCGACTTTGTAGAAGACTCTCAGATATAGTGGAAAGTGTTTAACTTTTTAAAATCACTTAGTTCTAAAAATCACAAAGAAGTAATTCAAAAATTACATTTGAAGAGAATTTAGAAAAAGTGTTCTAAACTTTCAGCGACAGTCAAGGAAAATAAAAACACCGCCGGGTGGTCTATTGAGACGGCGTGCGAACGATTCGGCGACAGACGAGGAAAATTACGAACCTAAAATTTGCTCTACAGTGTTCTAAAGTTTCATCAACAGTCGCGGAAAACAAAAACTCTAAACCAACCAATGAAAAAAAATTCTCTTAATTCTTTATTATTCTTTATACACACCGTGCCTGAACCAAAAAAAAGTTTGACTAAAATGGATCCAAAATCGGGTTTTTGGGGATCATTCTACATCATATCAGAAGTAAAAATCCGTTGAGATCAAAATCCTAGCTGCTCCTTTTTTCGAGATATAAGTATTTTTGTTTATTTAATTTTGCGAATATTCTAAAAACACTCAGTTTGGAACTTGTTTTATATGCTTTATACAATTAGGCAAACAAATCTTACAAAAAGTATCTTAAATATATTTTTTATATGTAATTACGTGTAAAAACCTTTAAAATAAAAAATCAATGAAGAAAATTGGTTAATATTTGTCAATATATTAGGTTTTTTTATATTGGGCTCAATTAAGAGTCGATTTTGTTTAAATATACCAATCTGAATTTTTTATAACCCTAAAATATTTAGACAATATCCAATTAATAAATTTATTGCAAAATTATCTCGTTTTCTAAAAAGATGTCTAATCAGACTCAGTTTAATATTATTTATTTATTTTGAATTAATTATTTTTATTTATTACTAATTTATTAATTATTTATTTAGTTCAGTATTTTAATTAATACATAAAGCTTAATACAAAAATAATTTTAAATACTTACCTACATTTAAATTTATTAAAATAATTTAATTTTAATTTCAAACCAAATTTTTTAAAACAATTTAAAAAATTTTTTGTAATGTTTGAATTTCATTTAAACAGATTAAAAAATTTAATACAAAATTCAGACCAAATTTTTAAACATTTTTCAGGATTGCCTAGTTCAAATAGTTTAATAATTTTTTTAAATTGTAAAAAACATATCATAAAAATATTTTTTTCGATTTTCAAACTTTCATATTAACTTCCAAGATCTAAATTGTCTTTTTAATAAATCAGAGCTGTTATAAATATGACCAAATAGACCTGA